TTCTAGTTGAACTTTAAACGTTTATTTTCATTATCTTTAAGTCTAGTCGGAATATTTATGTTATGATTGTGTTGGATATGTTAAAATTTAAGATTTTAAATTTTTTCATTTTTTGAAAAAAAATTGAAACCGAACCGGAAAAAATCAAACCGAACAAAAACTGAACCGAACAAAAAAAAAAATTGAACCGAACCGAAATTTCAGTTCGGTTTCGGTTTTGGCAAAACACCGAACCAATTTAAACCGAACCCACCCCTAGCCCATATGCCCAAAAGAGCCAGGCCCTATGGCCCTAAAATTATTCGGCAACCTACCGCTATTATCACCAACCAGGTGATCAAAAGTACGCCCAGTACTCCAAAATTATTCGGCAACTTGCCGCTATTATCACCAACTAGGTGAAGAAATGTGCAACCCTACTCTCCTTCATACCACCAACCAGGTGATGAAATGTACAACTCGTACTCTAATATCATTTGGCAACGTGCCACTCATGCCACCAACCAGGTGAAGAAGGAACTCATCTTCATGCCACTAACCAGGTGATGAAATGTACCACCCGTACTCTAATATCATTTGGCAATTAGCCATTCATGCCACCAACCAGGTGATGAAATGTACAACCCGTACTCTCCTTCATGCCACCAACCAGGTGATCAAAGTACGCCCAGTACTCCAAATTATACATGAGTATTGCTCATGTCATTCATACATAAACATTCATGAGCATCACTCATGACAATCATACATAAACATTCATGACCATCAATTCATGTCAACATTCATGAGCATCACTCATGACAACATCCATGAGCATCACTCATGTCAATCAACATAAACATTCATGAGCATTACTCATGTCAATCAACTTCAAAAGCTTCATTTACAGAGCTCTAACTTCAAAACCTTCATTTACAGAGCTCTAGCTTCAAAAGCTTCATTTACAAAAGCTCCAGCTTCGAAAGCTTCATTTACAGAGCTCTAGCTTCAAAGCTTCACTTGCAAAGCTTCACCTACAAAGCTTCAGTGCAGGGTATATAAATACCGCTTCCGAACAACCGCCACTTTGGCCCATACATGTATTCAATTTGAAGTCTCCAGCCAACAGACTCTATTGACCGAAGACTTGAAGGACTACATCATGTACCATATATTGGGCCTCAATTGGGCCTCATGAAAAATACTTGGGGGACTTAGCCCATTATTTATATATTAATGAGCGAGCCTTTATTCTATAAAAGGGACTCCCTCACTTTCATTAGAGAGCACCTATTATTCATGTACTGAGGAGCGAGCCCTTATTTTATAAAAGGGACTCCCTCACCTTCATTAAAGAGCAACGCCGCCAGCTAAGCAACCGCCTCGCCGCGAGCATCACTCCTAACCCATCACTTATGTATTGAGGAGCAAGCCCTTATTCTATAAAAGGGACTCCCTCGCCTTCGTTAGAGAGCATCATCGCTAGCTGAGCAACCGCCTCGCCACGAGCATTACTCCTAACCTATTATTCATGTACTGAGGAGCGAGCCCTTATTTTATAAAAAGGACTCCCTCACCATCATTAGAAAGCATCAACTCTAGCCCATCATTCATGTATTGAGGAGCGAGCCCTTATTCTATAAAAGGGACTCCCTCACCTTTAACGCCACAAGCCAAGCCAACCAAGGCAACATAAGCCACGAGCCGAGCAGCCTCGCAGTATGTGCTACTTCTAGTTGAGCATCATTTCAGATTAAGCACTGCCTCATATCGAACATCGGTTCAAGACAACATCTAGTTACTTCGGCCGACACATGGACTGAATTTCAAGTCTCCAGCCAAAAGACTTTCCTGACTGAACACTTGGGGGACTACTGTTTATACCATATTTAGGGCCTCGTATTTAGATCTCATAAAAATACTCGGGAGACTTAAATGTAATTATGTGATAAAGGAAAAGGCAAATGTATAATAAGTGAGAAGTCCTTATTCTATAAAATGACCCCTCACCCTCACAATTTGAGAAGGCCAATTCCTAAGGCTCCTCACCCTCTCAAAGCTCTCACTCTCAGAGCTCTCTCTCCCTCAAATAAATACATAATCAGTATGGACGTAGCCCAAACATTGGGGGTGAACCACGATACACCTTGTGTTATTTACATTACATGCAGATTCACGGTCGGATTTACGTTGTTCCAAGACCTCCGGTTTTGTGCATCAACAGATACTAATTAAAACTAGAAAGAATATTGGTGTAAAATAAAAAGGGAAAAGGTACACATTAAAATTAAAATATATGGAAAATACTAAAAGAATATATTTAGAAATGATTACATATGTTTTCAGTTTTGAAATTGAAAGATGTTTACATGTAAAATCATTGAATATTCAAATAATAATGTGGACAAAAGTCAAGGGACATTGATAAAAAAAATAAAAGGGTAATACTAGAGAGACTATATTTGGAGACAATATTTGAAGATAAACTTTTTTGGGGTCCTACTTCCAACGGAGAGTTCTCGGTTAAATCGGCTCATAGAATTCAAATTGATGATAATCAAGATCATATGTTTAAGGGGCTCCTTAACAAAATTTGGAAACTAAATATTCCTCACAAAGTTAAATTTTTTAGTTGGTTGTTGGTGAGAAACAAGCTAACCACTAATGCTAAATTACATAAATTCAATAATCACAATTCTGCCTTATGTCCCTTATGTAAAAATGCTGAGGAAAACATTGGTCATAGATTTAAAGATTGTCATTTTGCTCAGGAACTATGGAAGATTGATAGTAATATGCCTGTTATTTCCTTGTTTCCTTTTGTTAATGACTAACTCAATAGCTTGGCGTACATTAACAAAGAAGACTTGTCTGATCTTAGCAAGGTTCTATTTATTTGGTGGCAAATGTGGAACGACATAAATGATTTTATTTTTAAGCAGATAAAGCCTAATCCTGTTTGCAGTTTCAAGACTGTATCTTCTATAGCCAAGAACTTCTTACTAGCAAATTCCAAAGGAAATGAGGCAGGCCACCTTAGAAGTAACATTAGCATAAGATGGCATCACCTGGAGGCTGAATATCACAAAATAAATTTTGATGGCTCTGTTGTAGGTACCTCTGTTGCTGCAGGTTTTATCATTAGAAATCATCATGGTCGACCTTTTGTGGCGGGGTCAAGGAAGCTGGGTTAGAACACAATCACTGTTGCTGAGGCCTTGGCCGCTAGGGATGCTCTTCAGATGGCCAAATCTCGGGGTTTAAAGAAGGTCAAGATTGAAAGGGATTCGAAGATTGTCATTGAGGCAATTGGGAAAGTGCAGCATTCCTTGGCGTATTAGGACTATCATTGAAGACATTAAATGGCTAGCCTATTCTTTTGAATCTATTTCCTAGAAACATATTTTTAGGGAAGCTAATTTTGTAGCTGATGCCATCACCTTTTGTGGGCATAGTTTAGAGAATTTTCATGTCTGGGTGGGATGTGCACCTCAAGTTGCTTTTGATGCTCTGTTATTTGACTCTAGGGGCCTTGGGTGTTCCCGGGGCTTTTCCCTCTCGTAATGTTATTTTGGTTTCTCAAAAAAAAAAAAAACAAATATTTGGAGACAATATTTGCAAATTAAATGATGTGTCACCAATATGAATAAGCACATTTATCAACGTTTAAGTAATAAACCAATTATCAACTTTTCATGTCCTTTAGTTTCCAAAATTTTGTCTACAAATTTAGTATCACTAACATTATCCAAAAGAAAAAAAGAAAAAAAGAAAAGAAAGGGAAGTGTTATTGGCACTCCAAAAATCTCATTCTACACTCTTCACAATTGTATTTTTTTTTCTAATTATAGAAAGTTTGGAGTGTATAATGAGAATTTTAGAGTGCCAATAACAATTCCCAAAAGAAACAAGATTTCGATTAATGAGAAAGTAAAATGAGGGATGTGAACCTAATTAATCCGTAAAAAAATCTGACAAAAAATAATAATTTTTTTAACACACAATATTATCTACACTAATTGGAGGTTAACATACATTACAATTACTCTACTTGGCAAAACCTAGAGCCACTCGGATCCCTAATTGGACGTGGAACTAATACATATTTCTCTGTCGTAGTTCCTAGTTTCCCTTTCATAAATTGGAAAGGCTTCCCCGCCCAAACCTTCGTTCTCTTCATAACCCTTCCCCTAAGCTCCAATCCACCCACCCACCCACCAATTCTTGCATCTTAACCGTCCGTTACAGAAAAACCTTATCCTTTTTTTTTCACAGATGTGTGCCCCGCATTTAACAATGGTATGCTTGTTGAAATTAAACATTGTATGATTGTAATCCTTGTTAGATTTGGTTCAGAATTTCTTTGTAATCTAATGCTTCTTTTAAATTTGATTTTGTATTACTTGGATAACAAATGTCTCTTATGGTTCACTATAAATAAAAGGGAAATTTTATTTGAACCTGTCTAACCTCTTTCTACACCCAACTTACTTTCTTCACCCATATTGTTTTTACTAAAGAACTAATATATCTTTAAACCCAAACTTATTACCTAAACTACCCTTTCAAACCCATTTCAAAATGTAAAATTATCTTTAAACCCATATGCTAATTAGCTTATAACAATGTATGATTGGATTGAGATCAAGATTGTGGTTGAGAATGAGATTGAGACTGAGAGGTGTCGGCTCCACTACAAGAAAAATGGCCTTTGGGTACAAAATTAACGACACAAATGAAGAGTTTGTATCCCTTTAAACACCAATAGAGCGGAACAGTTCTCATTCAATAATGGGCACCACGTGTTGTGCCCAATGGAAACAAAAATGGACACAAACACATTATTGGGCACGAAAGACATAACTTTTGTGCCTTTGATGTCCATCCAGCTTGCATGTCCTTCAATGTCAGAAATATTTTTTTTATTAATTTACAATAACACTATTAATGTCTTTGTGCCCTCTAGTTGAATATATTTAAATAAAAAATAGAGTTCCGTGCCCTTTACACTTACTATTCTCAATTCCTCTCTCATCTCTCTCTCTCTCTCTCTCTCTCTCTCAATCCTTCCGCCTCTCTCCTCTCTATCCCTTTCCCAATCCAACCAAACCTCTCACTTTATTTTTTTTCCCAATTTTTCCTATTTCCTTATCTCTCTCACTCTCTGGATTCTTCTTTGGCTCCTTCGAGGAGGTCTCGCCGCATCTCACTTCCTGGTCACAAATGTCGACTTTCCATGGACCTTCTTTCTACGTCTCGACATTGGTTCCATCATCAACTTCACCTCCGTTTGCTCGTACTCGATCCGAGATCTACTCACTTAATTGGCCGCCTACTCGTGTGTTCTTGCTTGACTAGCCGATGGCACACCATGCATACTTGACCTGAGATTTAGTCGTGGTCGCTCTGAGAGCGATGGGTTAGTTTTTTCCTTTTTGTTGACGGGTAATTTTTTCGTTTAATTTTTTTTTTTGAATTTTCGATTTAATTATTTGCCTTATTTAATTTCTAGGCTCTTGTATGAAAGGGGCGAAAAACTAGTACTCTTGGAAAGGATTTGGCGAAATTCCTATTACCTTACTCCAAACCCGTGAATTTCAGCTGATTTATCCCCTTTCCAGCTTGATATTTTAGCGGATTAGGATTTAGGTTGCTCTCGGTTCTATGGACTTCATTGATGATTTAGCATCTCGGAGTTTGGGTTCTTACCAATTTCAGTTTCGAAGATATTATTATAGATATCAGGGTTTGTATTTGACTATAATCTGGCTGAACTCACAAGCTCATATTTGTAGTGATGGAGGATATAGGGTTGTCTAGACAAGCTTGGATATGTCTGCAGTCACAGAAACACATTTATTCACGATTGCGAACTGCAATCGGTGGGTGTGGAGATAAAATCGGGATGTTTGTAGAGCGGCATTGGCCGATGTTGTGCAGATTTCTTTTATTATTTCAGATTTCTTATTATAATCTGAATATGTAGTTTAACATTTTTGAGGTCGTTGATTTTTTGGGTTCAATACATCTTAATTCTAAGAACAGGAGATTTGACTCTGTAAGTGCAAGTCTTGAATTGCTCCGCTCTCCGAGTGTAAGTACATCTCTGCATATCTTTATTTCCTCAATTATATTTGACTTTGTTACGTTGAGTTGCCAAATTAAAGATATTGCACTACCTTTTCGATACTACATTAAATCTAGAACATGCGAAACATAAAATTTTGAGTGTTAATTAGTGGACGGGCTGCATTTTAAATTTGTAAACACCCATACTAATGGTTTGCAGCTTGATAGTTGTACCAAATCTCTTTTTCTTATTCGCATGTGCATGTCCATGTGTAGACCTTTTTGTAGCTTTCTAAGTTTGGGTTTTTCGTGATGTGTGCTTACGTGGTTTGGGATTACTTTCCTTTGCAAGCCTGAGTATTTAATAAAGCTTTGCGCTTTCAGATTAAGGTAAAGTTTGATTATATCTTATAGTTAATTCTGATGCCCAACGCAAGGTGTATAATTTTTTTCCATTACACTTATATGTTCTATCAATTAAACTCCAGACCAACTACAAATCTCCTAAGTTCTTTAAATTCGGGTTTGTTATATGTTGTAGGAAATGGCATATTTTGAGATATTCTGCATCTTCTTTCTTTAGTTCTTTACATTTGAAAGAGTGAGAATTATATTGTTGGGACTTTGGATTCTATTTTTATGTCCTAATTTGTGTGAGGATTGCTTGCCATCCATATAAGAATGTTACTAAAGTGTCAGGCAAAAGTCTTTATGTTTCAATCACAAACAAGTGCATGTATACATAGCAGAATTACACCAATTAATCTGTGGGAGGAAGGATATACAACAGCTCATGAGATAAAGGTAAAGAATCATAATTTGAAAATTTGGAAGCCACTACATACTCATTTCTTGTTGCTCTGTGTAAATGATGTTTTAAGAGCTTTTTGGTAGTCTAAATTTATAGTTCCATCCTTTTCAGCGGTATCCAATATGATAATTTGTTTTACTGCTCGATATATATCTTACTCATGGTCATTTTTCAGAGGCTATCAGAGCAGGGGCTGTCAACACTGGGTTCTATGCGGAGATCTCAAAGTTCATAGATCTGAGGAAAGAAATGTATACTCATCTACCTGCACTGATCTAAAGCTTGATCTGTGAATAGTGTATGTGCTGCATCTCTGAACATTTATGATGGTTTTTTTTCCAAGTGGTCTCTGTAGTTTCTCTGTGTATTTGCCGACACTCGCTATCTTTCTTGGAAATTAATGTCATAGCTTTGAGATTTATCACTGCTTTTGACCTTAACCTAAATGATTGTCCAAACTTTTATTGTTTTGTACATCTTTTTTTGCTAGTAATGTTAGTTTACTAATTATCTAGGTTCTCAAGGAAAGAATTACTTGGCTTGAAGCTGCTTGTGGTTGTGGGCTGTTTTAATTTCATGAAAAAATAATTTTTTGTTTAGCCTCAATCTCAATTTGTAGGTGATTTTAGCTTTTTTATTTATTTTTTAAATAGTTGACATATTAGGCACAATAACAATAAATGTGCTAACATGGGTGGCAGCAGTCATCTGACAATTTTGTTGGAACTGGGCATAAAAGGACCTTTATTTGTGCTTACGTTTTTCAGCATAGCATACCTTATAGTGCTATTTGATCAAGGTGACGCCCATAGAGGGCACATATAGAAACTTAGTTGCTGCACTGTTGTTATTGGTCTATGGGCCATATGTTGGTGCTCTTTGGCCTCAAAGGGCACAAATAATTTATTGTGCGCAGTGGCCATATTTGTTGTAGTGCTTGCTATAGGCGTTTTTTCCTGTATCTCCATGCTTACTTGAATGCATCTTTCTGCAAGGCCTCTTCAGTAAGGTGACTCATGCCTGCCATAAAAACCAAACTTCAACATCAATGTTCTGTCATAAACCATTCCCACATGCATCCTAGACGATTTCTTGCAGACCAAATATGCATATGTCACCAGTCTTCAATCGTGTATGCATACATGAGGTATGAATGGCTTTAATAAAATAAACCTTATGGCTCCTTGAACACGTGATTTGCGCAAGAATTTGGAGAAAACACTGGTGACTTCTTCAATGTCAGCTGCGACAAGCAATGGAAGAGACCTACATGGGTGGACTGCTCTCCATAAACCTGTTTCAAAGGGAAGATAGAAGTCATTCGAACACTGCTTGAAAAGGGTGTGGATATGAATGCTAAAGATGAGGATGGATACATCGCGTTGCATTGTGCAGCGGAGTCGGGACATGTGGATGTGATTAAGATAAAGAAAGGAGTTGATGTTGAAGCTCGAACTAACAAAGGTGTGATTGCACTGCAGATTGCTGAGTCTTTGCACTACGTTGGGATTACTAGGATACTTATTCATAGAGGTGCAACAAAAGACAATAGTAATATGGCACATATCTTGACCCATGCCTCAGTTTCATTTGGGGAAAAAAATCTATGGGACTAGAAGAGGAGATCATCAAAGGAGGAATGAAGAAGAAGAAATCGAGTCGAGCTAGAGCTCTTCGTGGGAGCTTCGATCGTTCGATGCCGTTGGTTGTTGTTTAGCTAGTAAAGCTGGAACTAATATTGGGGGTAAATTACACAGTAACCCCTCAGGTTTTGAGGTCTATTACAACTCCATACAACAACTTTAAAACATTTCACTTTTATACCTCAAGTACTATTTTATTTCAATATAATACATCCGTTGGATTTTCCATTCATTAATCTGTTAAATACTGACGTGGCTGCCACGTTTGTACCACGTGACTGCCAAATATCTGCCACGTGGCAAAATTTTTTTTTTTCTTTTTTTTCTTTTCTTCCTCCCTCTTCTTTTTCTTCTTCTTTGTCGTTGGGGTTGGGGGGGTTAGGGATGATTTTTCTTTTCTTTTCTTCCTCCCTCTTCTTCTTCTTCTTCCTCTTCTTTTTCTTCTTCTTCCTCTTCTTCTTCTTCTTCTTCTTTGTCACTGGGGTTGGGGGGGGGGTGGTGGGGTTAGGGACAATTTTTTTTTTCTTTTCTTCCTCCCTCTTCTTCTTCTTCTTCTTCTTTTTTCTTCTTCCTCTTCTTTTTCTTTGTTGCTGGGGTTGGGGGGGGGGGTTTGGGACAAATATTTTTTTTTCTTTTCTTCCTCCCTTTTCTTCTTCTTCTTCTTCCTCTTCTTTTTCTTCTTCTTCTTCTTCTTCTTCTTCTTCTTCTTTGTCGTTGGGGTTGGGGGGGGGTGGGGTTAAGGACAAATTTTTTTTTTCTTTTCTTCCTCCTCCTTCTGGGTCGTTGGGTGGGGGGGGGGGGGGAGGGGGAGGGACACAATTTTTTTTTTTTCCTTTTCTTCCTCCCTCTTCTTCTTCTTCTTCTTTTCTTCTTCTTCTTCTTCTTCTTTTTCTTTTTGTTGTGTCGTTGGGGTTGGGGAGGGGGGGTTAGGGACAAATTTTTTTTTCTTTTCTTCCTCCCTCTTCTTCTTCTTCTTCTTCTGGGTTTTTTGGGTTGGGGGGGGAGGGACAAATTTTTTTTTTTCTTCTTCTTCTGGGTCGGTCGGGGGGGGGGGGGGGAGGGACAATTTTTTTTTTCTTTTCTTCCTCCCTCTTCTTCTTCTTCTTCTTCTTGCTCTTCTTCTTTTCTTTTGTGTCGTTGGGGTTGGGGAGGGGGGGTTAGGGACAAATTTTTTTTTTCTTTTCTTCTTCCCTTTTCTTCTTCTTCTTCTGGGTCGCTAGGTGGGGGGGGACAAATTTTTTTTTTCTTCTTCTTCTGGGTCGCCCGGGGGGGGGAGGACAATTTTTTTTTTCTTTTTCTTTCTTCCTCCCTATTCTTCTTCTTCTTGCAAATCTGGGTTTTTTTTTTTTTGAGAAAATTCAGGTTTAAAAAAAAATTTATTTTCCACGTGGCAGACATTTGGCAGCCACGTGGCACAAATGTGGCAGTCACGTCAGCATTTAACGGATTAATGGATGGAAAATCTAACGGATGTATTATCTTGAAATAAAATAGTACTTGAGGTATGAAAGTGAAATGTTTTAAAGTTGTTGTATGAGGTTGAAATGGACCACAAACCTGAGGTATGAAAGTGTAATTTACCCTAATATTGGTGCATTGATACTTTGATAAACATAGGATAAATTGGAGGATTCAAAACTTCAAAATCACCATCCATCAATAAAAAAACTTGTTTTTCTCTACGAGAGCTATTAGGGTTTTAGCCGGAATGAACGTAGGATAAACAAAGAGTGATCTTAGGGTTTAATATATTGTTTGGGTTTATTGATAAATTTGAGTTTTATTATTAATTTCATTTTGTACTTAATAGTAATTATGCAATAGGGTAAAATAGACAACATGGGTTTAAATAAAATTTGGGTAAAGTACAAAAAACTACCTCAACTATTGGTCTCACGACATTTTCATACCTCATTTTTTTAAAATGACAATGTCATACCTCATTTTACGAATTTGTGCCAATGTCATACCTCCATCAGTTTTTCTGTTAGTTTCTCTGTTAAGTGTTGACGTGGCTTGGCTTAAATGGTGACGTGGCTTAAATAAATTAATAAAATATTAAAAATTAATTAAATATTAAAAACTAAAAATTAAAATCATTTAATTTTTTTTTACATAGGGACCGGGGGGGGGGTCGGATGGGAATGGGTTTTAGGGCTGCAGAGAAGAGAGAGAGGCAAGAGAGATGAGCGAGAGAAAGAGATTTAATTTTTTTTTTAATTTTTAAAATTTTAATTATTAAAATATATATTTAATTATATTTTAATCCAGTTGGATTAGTGAGTGGCCCCATATCTAGCCACGTCAGCACTTCACAGAGAAACTAATAGAAAAACTGACAGAGGTATGACATTGGCACAAATTCGTAAGATGAGGTATGACTTTGTCATTTTAAAAAGATGAGGTATTAAAGTGTCGTGAGACCAATAGTTGAGGTAGTTTTTTGTATTTTACCCATAAAATTTCCCTAAATAAAAACACTAATATAAGAGCAGTTCCACTGGAGGTGGAATAGCTCAGCACCCAGTCAAAAAACCAGGCTGACACCTTGTCAATTCACTCCAGCCCAACAACTTGCTTGGCACCCAGCCCAAAATTGACTGACCAAGGAATTGGGCTATTTGCTTGCCGCGTGCAGCTCACTCGCGAGTGGGCGCGAGTAGGGCACAAGGGTACAGGCGGCGGGGCCCGCTGTCAGCCCACTTGTGCTTCATCCGGAAAGAGGCGACGTGGCCCTCTTAATGTCGTTGGATTTCCAACGGCTAGTTTTTGTAAACCATTGGATTTCCAACGGTAAAAACAATTTAAATTTGACTTTTAAAATGGATCGTCCGATCACAGATAAATGGTCCACGTTTTTTCACCAAAAATAAAAATAAAAATAATAAAAAAAGGCCCAATGGTCAGAATTATGACCGTTGGCCACGTGGCAGCGCCTTGGCTCTTGGATTTGAATATTTTTCAAATCCAACGGTCCAGATTAATCAACTATATTAAAATTTATTAAAAATTATGAAAAAATACAGAAAAATTATTAAAAAATACATAAAATTTTTAAAAAAAGTTTTTTTTTTTTTTCTATAAATACCTAACTCTCATCTTTCACCTTACACCACATTTCAATATTTTCTACACTTTCTACCAAAGCTTTCATATACATTTTGTGTGAAAAAAAAAATACCAAAAAGCTCATCCTTAATTTTTTTTGTCCATATAAACCTTACATCCCTACATCCATCTATTTTAGTGTGTTTTTTTTTAGTTTATTTGATGAGTTTATGTAATTTTATTTTAGTGTGTTTTTTTTTTAAGTTTATTTGATGAGTATGTAATTTTATTTTAGTGTGTTTTTTTAAGTTTATTTGAAATTTTATCCGAAATTGGTTAAAAATCTTATCCGAAAATAAAACTATTTTTTTTATTTATTCTTATAAAAAAAATATAAAATATTTTAAATGAGCTGGGTGCCAGCTAGGGGTGGGTTTAAAAAACCGAAAACCGAAAAAAACAGAAAACCAAACCGAATTGAAACCGAAAAAACCGAACCAAACGAAAAAATCAAACCGAATTGAAAAAACCGAACCGAACCGAATTCTTTTGGTTCGGTTCGGTTTTAGCGATCTAGAAACCGAACCGAACTGAACCGAATTAATTAAATTAATTTTTTTATTTAATTATTTGTTTTGGGTATTATTTTCTAAACCCAATTTGTAAGTTAAAATGTGTTAAACCAAATATGTTGCCAAACTTTGAGCTCAAAATATTAAAAAAAAGCCTATAAAAACTCTAAACCCTAACCTATTATTTCTCCCCCATATAAGGTTCCAGAACCAAACCTCATCCTGAAGTACATGCATCTATCTCCATAGCATTGTCTACTTCTACCCTAACTTTCTTTTCCAAATCTACTCTCATATAACATGTAACAGAATCCATAAACATTTATTTCGGGTAGATTACTTGCGTAATTTGTGATGGAAAAGAATCTAACACACACTAAATAAATCCACCCACGCATTAATTTTACTAATCAAGTTGTCAACATGCAGTTACAAGCAAACCGCCCTGATCTTTGAACAACATCATACAAATTTAACTTTTCTAAGTCATTTGTACGATTTTTGTGTTGTGAGGTTGTTAGTTTGGACTTTGGAAGACTTGATTGATGATTTTAGTTCAACTTTAAATGTTTATTTTCATTGTCTTTGATTCTAGTTAGAATGCTTATGTTATGATTGTGTTGGAGATGTTAAAATTTAAAATTTCAATGTTTTTCATTTTTTGAAAAAAAAATAAACAAAAAACCAAAACCGAACTGAAAAAAATGAACCGAACCAAACCGAAATTTCGGTTTGGTTTCGGTTTTGGCAAAAAATCGAACCGATTTGAACCGAACCCATCCCTAGTGCCAGCGCATTTTGTAGGGGTGGAGATCGTTTGTGCCAACGCATTTTTTTAGGGGTGGAGATGTTTTGGCCTATTACTGTCACTGGGTCTATTACTGTTCACTTGAATGGATAAATGCGCTGGGTGCTGGTGCAAAGTCTTTAGTTGTGGAATTGCTCTAAAGAGAATATATCTACCATTCCTTATTCTTTCTTTCTCTCCGTTTGGCGCACTCTCTCTCATCAATAAATAGGCCACAACAATAGTCCTTTTTCATATAATTCACATGTAAGTCTTACGTTACTCTTTTTAAAAAAGTTCAAACTCTCTCTTGTAACGTTTACGAGGAACGAGAGCTGGAATCTATCTAGCTTTGTAGTCTTGATTATTTTCTTGGCTTACCTAATCTTTTTTTCCTTGGCATCCAAACAGGCGGCGATGTTGGTACCTTCGTGGCTTGAATCGTTGTTGTCGACGGCCTTCTTCTCCATCTGCGGCCGGTCGCACAAAGATGGCTTGAGAAGCGAAAGCACATGTACTGCTTAGATTGCAACAATGTCGCATTCTGCTTGTATTGTAAATCATCAAGACACAAAGATCACCAAGTTATTCAGGTAATTAGGCATATACAAATTTCAGTTCAAGTTTTATTTATTTATTTTAAAATTCAACTGTGTATAATTGAATTCTTTTTCTTTTATGTAGGGGTGTGGATGCAGATCAGACGGTCATCGTATCACAATGTTGTGAGGGTATCTGAGATTCAGAAGGTGTTAGACATAAGCGGAGTTCAGACTTATGTGATAAACAGTGCGAGAGTGTTGTTTCTTAACCAGAGGCCTCATGAGCCTAAAACTGCCGTTAAAGGGG